GTTCGCGCGATCTTAGCTGAAGAAATTCTTGCTTCGTATCTCCTTTTAATACAACCGAGTGCAATATTGATCGTACTATAGCCTTACACAAATGCTTCTGTCAACTAAAGCAGGTCAAATATAACATTCATTCAACAATTGCAATCGTTGATACCCTTTGCTGAGCGTTTCGTGGGCCAAAACAATATCCATATGTTAAGAAAATGCTTATGCGTGATTTCTACTTTTGCTAATATATTTTGTCCAATGTTGACAACGATCACAGCGCAAGTAGTAGTTATGGGGCGGGTATGGTCCCGGAAGTAAACGGAGCTCTTACCCGTGTCAATTAGTTTCCAGTCTTAGGAAGTAAACAGGGCGCGCGTGTAAACCGGAAACGACGTAAATGAACGAAGGTTGCTACTAGATGACATGATTAATTCAAACACGATAAAACTTAATTAAAATTGTCAATTGTTTTCTATTCTTAAAGCAATATTAGATCCGTTTTCTTGTTTCCTTTGCAAATATAAAAAAGGAGAACACGTTACAATTTTATTGAGTTAAAGTTATTTGGTAATTTTTGTCTAACTAAAACGAAAATGGCTTTAAAAGTAGACATTGAGCAAGCAAAGAAAGTGAAGGAATCGTTCTTCGAATTTGAAGATGAGAGCCATGTTTTAGATGAACGCCAAAGCAATATACAGAATAAATTGTTAAAGTGCTATGCTACTGAAATTGGTTTTAAAATATACGAACTTGAGGCAAAAGACAGTGACGGTTGTCGCGTTGATCACCCCTCACAAGGACACACGATTGCTTGATGATGCCTAATGATGAAAAGGTAACGATATACTTTGATGACGCAGTATCAAAAATTGATTAGGAAGAAGTCATGAAATCCTTCTTTGATAGTTTACAAGACATGACTCCGATAGTAAATGTGCTAGAACTTATCAAGTACACTTGTAATGATTGGAGAAAAATATTTTTGACAGAAAAAAAGAACAAATTAGAACATGAGACGTTGATATTCTTAAATAAATTTTATTGACATATAATATTCTTATTGTAAGAAACTGGCAACGACCACTCTGAAATAAAAAGAAATCAATCTTACTGACTGTTCTACTATATCAATTTTCAAAAGATAAAGAATTATAAAAATACATACTGAAAAAAATCTTCTAAGAAGCGATCAACTTCTTCGTCAAAACATCTAGAGTATAAAGCAATGGACATTACATAAAAAAAAGAGTACATTCATCAAGCCGATTGTCTGGCGCTGAAAAAACACGCAAACATTTCTCCTTCTGGCAAACAATCTTTCACTCTAGCGCTGAATTTTTGTAGACACGCAAAAAATTCAGAAACATTTTTTTTAATCTGTAAAAGTTTTAATTCTTATTTTTCATATGGAAATACAAGCGTGTACCATTACAATCCTTTCTGAATCTATAACATTTATAAGGAAATTTTCTTATTGACATAAAATACATAGGTTTAACAATTACGCTATAACACGGTTGAAAGTCATTTGCTTTTAAAACGTTGTTTAGCGCTCCGATTTGTCCAATCGTCACTGATCTGATTCCTTTAGCATGCTTTCCAAAGAGCTTTGCAGTTCTTGAAGGTTTTTGGTGTGATTGAGACATGTCAAAAATGCACCATGTAATTTTTTCCAATCTTCTCTTTTTAGTGGATACTTTAAATATTCAATTTGGTTGTTCAACTGGTGTTTGATACAGGCCAATTCTCCTACAACATCGTCTACTTTGTCGTCTCTTTTTCTTTTCGCAGGATTTACTTCTTCACTAGCCATTTGCTTTGTGCTTTGTGCTTTGTGCTTTGTGCTTTGCTTTGCTTTGTGCTTTGTTTTGAGTGGCTTACTTTGTTATATGACACTACTTTGCACTTTGACACTTTGACTTGCTTTTCAGGGAAGTGATTGGAGAAGAAAACTGAGAAAATCGTCAATAAAAAATTTTACTGCAATTTTAAAAATTACAATTAAAATTTTTACTACAATTTTACAATTTTAATTGTCTTAGGTTGTTGGTTTGTTTGGTTTCTTTGGTACACGAACACGGGTAGAGGACGAAAAGGACTTGTCTTTATTATGTCTTATAAGACTTATATCAGCTTCCTTCGTCGATTTTCCATATGCCACGGGAAAATACTTCTCTCCCAACGAGCACTGAATGCGAAATTCGCTGTCTGTAGGTTTTGTCGCATAGCGTAGTTTCAGTTTAGATGCAAGATTTTGAGTAGTGGATTCGATCTCCACAAATCGATTTTTATACAATTTGCCTCGAAGACTAAACAAAATGTTGCAATCACCGGACTGAATTAAATGGAAGTAATGAATAGCGAAGTTAGAATTAGCGTTAGATAACGAGAAGTTATTGTTTTGGCAAACTTGAAGGCCTGTCTTCGTGACTTCTGTTTCATGGACATCTCTCATCTGGTAAGCAATGCTGGCGTTGTACAAGTCAGTTACATTCCAATACTGGCCATCGAAATCAGCAAAATCATCAAACAGAAGTGTATCTAGTGCTGTTAAATTACTTGATGGTGTAGTGTAACTACTGCTGCCTGGAGCCGGTACAGAAGCTTTCTTCACTTTTGTGCCAAAACTCTCCTGCTGAATTGTAAGGAATTTGGGAAAGCAATATACCTGTAGTTTTGTATTTGCAAGCTGTACGGAGAAGTCTTTCTCTTCTCCATTTTTTACCACACCATTAAAATATTGATTATTTTGTGTGATGTAATTTGTCCGTATTTTGTCTTCACCGGTGGTTGGGTCTTCGTAGTACACATTTAAATTTTTCTTGTCCCAAGCTTTTTCCAATAACGTGAAGCAGTTATCGGTTAACCATTCCCTCTTTAAACGAAATATTTGAAGTTTACAGGTGGCTTTATTCGACGAGGTTTGGCTTCCCCAAAACGACTTAAAAAAATTTTCATCGTTAGGGTACGCGTAGGTGAATTTAGCGGTGATGATGTCTGAATATTTTACAAATGAATCCAAACCAAAGTTGGTGAAATTGATGTATTTGTTTGTTGTTGATGATTTTTCATCGCGCTTGCGACCTTTAGTTATCCTAGTGTCGACATCCCTATACACGGATATAAATTGCTGGGTATCTAGAGAAAACGCGACGATTAAATGCGCTATGTCGTTACTTGACAAAGTTACTCCACTAATTTCTTTAACATCAGCCCACGGCGATAGGAAAGGACGTATCATTTTCATTCCTTCTTTGTCTTCATGAAAAACTGCATCCACTCTTCGAAAGGTAATTTCCCCAAATGCACATGAAGGAAATTGTTCATTGAAACCTTCACTGACTTTCATTAACTTCTGATAAAGTAGACGCGAATCACTCACTCCAAATGCCCGTTTAAGACCGGCCATTTTGTTAACTGTGTTCCATCGAATGCAACCGATGAATAGAATCAGTTGCATTGAATTGATGGCTTATGGCTAACGGCTTGATGGTCGTAGCCATCGGTTGAATGGTTGAATCGTCATCGTTTCCATCGTCGGTTTCTTCATCGCTTTCAGGAATAACTTGTGACTGTGTTACTGTGTTGTCGGTTTCTTCTTCGCTTTCAGGAATAACTTGTGACTGTGTTACTGTGTTGTCGGTTTCTTCTTCGCTTTCAGGAATACATTCTGACTGTGTTACTGTGTTGTCGCTTTCTTCATCGCTTTCAGGAACAACTTCATCGCTTTCAAGATGAATAACTTCATGGCTTTGATCGCCAAATCGTGCCTTTTTCACATTAGAAAAAATATCCTCTATATTCAAACGTTTACCGTTCTCCATATCCTTAATACCAAATTCTTATCTTGAATCTTTATTGTATCCCGTTTACTGTGTAGGTTATCGCGTAGGTTTTGGAAATATTCAAGAAGATAAGCTTCCGTCGCTACCTGTAGCGCATGTACAGCTGATGACTGATACCTGATATTTTTAATAACAACATCTTGAGTTAACTCTTTGACTAATCTTCGAAAAGCAGTCCTCGGTATTAAAAGATGAAAGGTCTTTTGCAATTTCCTAATTTCGTGCAAAACACGATTTTTCCTTTTCGGATTTTCTTTTTTTTCATATTTCATAGGATTTTTCGACTTGCGGCGGTTTGATTTGTTTGTTGATGCTACATCCGACATTTTATCTTTATGCATAGCTTCTAAAAAGCCCTCAAAATATGTCGGTAAAACTACATCATCATCATCATCGTCCGTTTTGCGCAATCGTACACCATAAAATTCTTCCAACACATTGGGAAAATTCGTTACATCGTCCCGACGTAATACACGAACAAATTTTGTAAGTACTGAGTAGTACTTAAAACCTTCGTCAAACATATTTCTCACAGCATCTCTTAGTGACATGCCATCGATAATGAAATCCACATATTTATCAATTATTTTATTTGTCAATTCCTTACCAATTCCATAATAAAGATGTACCCGCTTTCTCTCAATGTCATTAAGAGGGCGAAAGAATTCAGCGACATTAGCCATTTTTTTGTAATTCGATACAAGGTTAGGAAAGTTCACACTGCTGAACAAACGAAATACGAATTTTCAAATACAAATAGAAAAACAAAAATGGAAATCGAATCGAACGAAAATAAATTTTTTAATGTCGAGGAATGTTGTGTAGAAAGGATAAAGAATGAAGACGAAGAATATGCTGAGATGATTAAATTTGTGAGAGATTTTGTGGATTTCCAGCGCAGAAAGAATGCAGCGCCAGACAAAGACGACGGTTGCGATTCTGTTGATGGAATACCAACTTATGTGAAGAAACTAAAACAAAGTTTACAGAAATCAGTGGCTTTCTGTGAAATGCAAAGACTACTTGATAAACTCCTTGGCGAAGTTGGGGGATTGGCAAAGAAGAAATTCGCACATTTAATTAATGAATTCGCACATTCACTTACTGACGAAATAATACAGTTGCTCGAAGAACACCTGTGAAAATTTGTTGAACTGTGAACACTGATTGAATTCAAAGTTAATTTTATTCAACTGATTTTTCAGACTTTTTGTAAAATGTATTTAATCAAATGTCTTTCCTTTAGCAAGTTTGCGACGCTTGCCATGCTTGATTGCCATGCTTGGTGAAAATCTTTGCCAAAATTCGTCATTGGAATAAAAATCTGTAATTTTCGTTTTATTCTCCGGCGTACTTTGCTTCGGCGTACTTGGGAATAATTTTCTTGGCGTAATTTTCTTGAACGACTGGACAACTTCCTCATTTCCTTTCTCACTTTCTTTTTTTTGTTTTTCTTTAGGAATAATGTCATCTTAAATATAAATTTACAATAAAACAAAAAGGAAATTAAAGATGAAAGACAAACTTTACAACCTTTCACACGTCCCATAACTTCTTCATCTGTAGCATTACTTATATTATAATGCTGTCTAAATTCATCGAGAAATGAATTTTTCGATTTCATTTCTTTAGTTGCATCTACGATAATCTTTAGCCTTGACCGCCGATAATCCACAGTCGGAAGGACATCATCTAATGCTTGGAAATTTTCCCGAAATTTCGCATTTCTTCTTCTATCCCTTAAAGCCATCTTCGAAGCGCGCTACGCGTGACCTAACCTTTTCTAAACTTACTTACTTTAATTATATTATTATTATAATTATAAGAGAAATGAGAAAGATAAGGTCACGCGTTGCGCGGCACGCAGGTATCAGGTATCCGTCCGATCCGTATAAGGTAAATTAAATGTTAGCAACTATAAAAGGTTTGATTTTGGCGGTGAATTCAAATTGTATCTCGAAGTATGGAGTATATAGATGGGGAAGCCGAATGTAGCGACAATAATTCAGAAGAAATCTTTGACGATGAAAGCAATGAAGTCGACGAAAACGCAGACGAAAACGCAGAGGAAAACGCAGAGGAAGATGCATTTATTGACGATGAAAGCAATGGAGTCGACGAAGAATTTAGTCATGCAGCAGTTGACAACGCAGAGGAAAACGCTGAGGAAACATCGGCGGATGAACTTAGATCTACATTCAGTAATTTTCCAATGGATCGATTATTTCCTTGGCAAGTGTGCGTTTCAGAGTGAATGACGGCATTAAAGCATTAAAACAGTAAATTAACTCTTGTGTCTGCAGGCCTATTGTATTTCAAGCACCATCAATTAAGATGTTCAAGGTCATTAAACTTATCTAGGACAACTGCTTTCAGCGAGTCTTTCGTTGATGGATATAATGTTCTGGTTTCTTTAGTTCTTTCGTAGATGGTTCGTTTTCTTTTATTTAATTCTTTTCGGGGTTTTCGTTTGTTTAACTTTTACTTGTGACTTTCTTTTGATGTGGACTTCTACTGAGTACCAACATGACTAAAGCTTTCGTTTCTCTGCTTATAAGTAAGTGATCGTACAATGACGTAAGGTTAACCGCTTGTGCGTAGACTGTGGTCAGTTGGTTGACTACGTCGTATGCGTAAACTTTTTCTTGTTATTGTGGTTTTTATGACTGTTCTACTGTATCAATGTGCAAAGGATAAAGAATTATAAAAATACATACTGAAAAAAATCTCCTAGAAATCTATCGACTTCTTCGTCAAAACAACTAGATATTAATTATTTGACTTAAGGAAATAGGGCATTGAAAAGGCAAGCATTCCACTAGCCTCTCCTTCACCTCAGAGAGGTGGACTTTATCTCCACAGCTTAGTGGGCATATAACCCATAGGTTACAGTCTTCACACTGGCCTAAACTAATGAACAACATCACAAGTTAAAAATTTGCTAAAGTCATATCAAACATTGAAATAGAATTCCAATTCAACTTACTCAAAATCGGTCTAATGGTGTTTTGTGTAGCCATTCTAGCTGTTGGTTTTCTTTGCTGATGCCTTCGCCGTTTACTGATGACTTTGCCTGAGACTTTGACGTGAGTGCTTTTACATAAACAATAAACATACCAAATTGACATCGAAAAAACTATCACCACGCAGATTTTGTTTATGCGTGTTTTTTTTTCACCCAGCACGTAAGGCAATCGTTAAACTACTTTTCTTACATTAGCAGTTACCAGTGAAATTAATTGGCGTTCTTGAGATTGGTTTCTTTACGCAATAAGTACTGAATTTAGTACTTTTATTTTATGCTTGTACTGTTTTTATTTTTCCATAAAGGTTTAACACACATATGATTTGGTGTATGTAAAATGTAAGAATGATTTCATAAGAAAAATACTGATTACGTTTCATATACAGTGATCTTGTACATTGTTTTATCCCCGGTTAAATGTTTTAAAGTGGTTCTATGACGAAAACTTAACGTTAAAAAATCATCGATTTTAGCATTCAATAGTTTAAACACATATCAATTATTGCTTTCGTAAAATGTAAGCAAAAATAATAATATAACGAGGAACGAGGGAGTTATGAACATTTGAAATGTCTAATTTTCATGTCCGCCATTAAAATCGGCCATTTTGAATATTTGCAATTAGCAAAGGTCTGTGACGTCATAGTCTTAACACGGCAAGAAGCGCACATTGGAAAGTATACAAAGTAATACATAAATAGAGCAAAAAAATGTCAAATTCATCGAGATCTAGCTCGCTCTCTGAGTCTTCGATCGAGGCAAACGCATAGATTTCTTCATCGGAATTTGTGACGGCAAATTTGAACGAATCTAATTCAGAAATTTTGCCATTTGTCGATAATATTGAACCGCTTGCTTCGCCCGATGAAATTGCTGAGCACGAAGCTACAGTCGCAGAACGGCGGGTTGAAGACATGCTGCAAGATCGTTTTGATGCCCGTGTTGATGTTACTTCATGGTAAGATGTCATTCTTAGTGTGTTACTTTGATCTGAATCGTTTGCCGTTATCTATGATAACTTTATGGAAACATACAATTTGGCCAATATTAAAGGTGTGAATTTCGTTGGATCTTGTTGTCAACCCTCAAGAGTGCCGATGCTGCATGGAAATAGAGCAATGCCGTGGTAAAATGTATCAGTTTGAAATCGATGAAAGGAAATGAATTTTGGATCACCCTGGCTTTAAGGAAGTTTGCCTGAACGAATTTGTTCTTCAAGCAGCTTCGTTAAGTTTAAAGACCAAAGGTCATCGCATGATACAGACACTTCATTTTGTATTTCCTTTAAAACCTTAGTATAAATGTATATTATATATTGAAAGTTTGCCTGGATGTATTATTGGTTCTCTCAAATTGTGAAAATTTATCATCTGCAATATGTGTAAGTATATAATAATTGCAACTTGTGCTAACCTGACGCCGCTCTCTTGACGTTGTTGGTGTTTGTGATTTCTTCCAAATAGTAGGTACGGCACCAGGTTTGAGCCGTCAAGTCATACCACCCAAATGGAATAAACGCTCAAAACAATCATCCGAGAAGTGATTCGAACAAATCATAAATCGAATTTCGCGCGAACTCGGATTAAAGTTTGCGCGCTTCGTCTGAACAAATTTAACTCAAATTCTTCTCAAAGACTCGTCGTTTTGGCTTTTATGTAATGAAATGCCTGTAATTTCTATCAGACTTGTTACTGCAATCTTGCACGACACAGCGTGTTGAAGGCATGTTAAAAAAATTGAGTTATACAACCTTTTAAATCTTTATTTGTATATAGTATTATATTGTAAACAGCCGCGAGTTAAGACTATGACGTCACAAGCACCTTCCTTGAAAATTCAAATATGGCGCATTTTAATGGCGGCTCTTAAAGTTCAAGTTTTATCGCTACGTAACTCGAGCAGCATGAAATACATTACGCTAAAATTTCGCCAGAAGAGATTTTTTTACATACACTATTAATCTATGAAAAAAAAACGAGAGGCAAAATTTTCGTCATAGTACCACTTTAAATGTAAATGAATGTAAAATTTTAAGCGACTATGAGGAAAGACTTGTTAAATTGTACAAGAAATTTGCTTTAGTTAACAAAGTAAGTATCGTCTTCTGTCTTCAGCACTTTCCGTCGATCCCGAACGTTTAGCTTTATCTTTAAATGCTAAAGCCTACATCAACGTGCCATTATCCATGTGAAAAAATTTCATAAATTGAAGATTGTCATAATGTTATCACACCCATACTCAAAGGAAATCGAAGAAAAGTGTTTTTGATCCTGCAAAACTAATTCTCGCTACATACCCGGCAATTTTTGTGTTGTTTTTTGATGATACCATGATAAGTAGTGCAGCAACGTAGCTAAGTTCTGAAAAAATAATGTGACCCGATTTTGCCAAAACTTAAAAAAATAATTTGTGCATTTACTTTCGAATCTTACCCTGCTTCAATCCAGCAGGTTACCTAAGGACCGAAATACTTTTCGAACATTTGCGTTAAATTTTATGAAATGTTATAGAAATCTTTTGTTCGAAGATCACACTGTAAGAGATCTGAAAACCATGTTGCATAAATAGTTACAGCTACTTCCACATCAATTTAAGTTTATTGCTAAAGTTATGGATATTAAAACACGACAACAAACCATATAGGCATGTGCATCTAAAATGTACGTAAATTTTGTTTAGTGTATAGTTATATTTATAGTTAACCGCAGGCCGTTACGAAGGACAGGGTGTGCGGGCGTGGGACACACTCAAGTAATATTTTCGGCTAAATGAGGCTTGTTTAAACATGTACGTAAGCGTGAAAAAAAAACTAAATCTTATTTGTGTTGAATAACCATGTGGGTGTAGTTCCTTTTAGAAGACCACGCCGTATAACCACACCCATTTTCGAAAAATTTGATTTTCAACTGTTCGACACGGCCTTTGGTTAAGTCATACTCAAGCTTTCGTATTTCATAATTAATCTAAACTTTGGTTTCTCACTCCCAGGCTTTATATCGAAAACAAAATGCCTTTGTTTCTTTCTTTCGCTTATTTTTTATTTGAAATCAGAGTTATTCCTCTTTAGTTTAAGTGTGTTTTTTTTTAATCTAAGAAAGTTTTATTGTTTTCATTTTGTTTTGAAATTTCATGTTTTATATAAATAATATGTGTTTGTCTATAGTGTTGTTAGATATTGTAAATGTAAATGTCATCATCTCTTACTTACACTTGCATTGAAAGTTTCCAATAATGGAAAGTGTAAATTTTCAATCTTTATTTTGTCTTGCTTTTTTTGTAAAAATAGGCTGCAAGCTTGGATTCGATAAGCTGCGTGATTTTACGCCTTTCGGCATTTGCTTTGTTGTACGACATTGATTAAGTAGATCAGGTTAATATTTTTGTCAAGTAAAGTAACCAGTGTAATGGACGGTTAACCCCTTCAAAAAATAGAAATGTTTTAGACATTTAATACCGAAGCGAATCCACGTTTGAAGTCCAGCATTGTAACACTGTAGATAAAGTACTGTTTTCAAAAAATATATGTTAACAAAAATACATTTAATTGCTTGACTTGGATCGTGATCCAGCACTCTTTTCCTTAACATTTTGTCTTATGATGATTTTAATCATACACATGCAGCAACTAGTTATTGTTCGGAATTTGATAAGAATTTTTTTCTGTTCTCATTGGATTACCTCTCACACAACAATAACGAGCTACATACGATGGCCTTATTCATCTATAGAATGCATGGCATTATTTGTCACTATCACGACA